AAGATCCGTTTATGTAGGGACAATTTTGACACAAATTGAATATTTTAGTAATCAAAAGTGCTATTAACACAAAGAAGAAGAATTTAGCATAGAAAGGGGAAGAAAATTCATTGGCCAAACGAAACGACATCGAAGGAGCACAAAAGACAGAAATGTGATGCAGAAGCAAACAAAGGAAAGGAGGCAAAGTGGTGAAAGGCTTTAGTTTTGCCTTTTATCTGCTTATGATTTTTGAAAGCTAATTGCATACTTAGACTGTCTCTATATTTCGATCGTCTGTATATGCATTAATAAATCCAATGTGTAGCTTTCTTATCATACCACTAACTTACTTAACACTAAAAAATTCGAAGTTCTTTGTCAATTACAGTATCTTTAGAGCTAGAATATGACCAATTGTACAATCATATCGACAAATCGCTTAAACATGTACAAATTTATGATGACAGTCGAGATTCGTAATTCATAATTCATAATGAGGGTGCGGAGTCATTAAGAATTCATCGATCAATCCAATATCTTAGAATCTCAAAATACATGATGATGGCTAGTTCACATTGTTTCATCCCAATTGAAAGGTCTTGTTTTAAACAGAGAGAGAGAGAGGCTGCAATGGCTGTCAGCTTAGCTTTGGCAGCTTTGAAGTCGTAAGCCCACCATGATTCTTGCAGGCCCATGATTAGTTATTTTGCTTTTACTTACCAGAAATTTGGTGGATCTCATGATCTTATTCTTCCATTACACTCTTGGAATATAATTACTGCTTAAAGCCATCAGCTTTGAAGAAATATAGCCATCTAGAGAGAGAGATTCAATATGATTATGAAGAGAGTGTAGTTTTTGACTTGATTACATCAACATGCCAAAAAATTAAAAACAAGTCTTAATTATGGAGAGAAGAAAATGAAAGCATTGTGGGGAGTTTAGTCTTGCCGTGCAGCCTTAAGTTATTATGATTGCATCAAATTTCCCAAGAATAAATATGTTTTTAGTAGATTTAGATACCAAGTGTGAAAATAAAATTTTCCTAATACTCTAATTGGGATACGAGTTTTGAAATTGGATTCGAATTTAGATAAGCCGAATCCAATCTATTAACAAGCTTACGTGGTAGGATTCATGATTTAATGACCGGTAACATGGTTTGAAATATCAATTGAGTCGTATCCAACTTGGTACCTTTCATTGTATCATGTAAACTCCGAGTCTTACCCGACTCGTGGGTCACTCTATAGAGTAGTCCAAGTACTCGTCATCAACTTGCAGCGTGCCATCCGATTGTTATGTATTATTGCCCCAATCGGTGCGTGTAAGTACCTTACAAAACCAGAAACAAATAAGAAGAGATTGGCTTAAACATGGTCGGTTTGGCCTGTATCTCCCATCATCAAAAGGTTTTTTGCCCTTACTCATCTTATCTAATGAGTCATGAAAGTTGACATGAACTCAAGGTATTTTTAGTGCTCAACATGACATAACCCACAGTATCAAAAATTGGTCCTGACAGTGAGGCTGCTAGAGAATAATATAGACTATAGAGGCTGTCCATTTGATGCATACATTTTGATGAATGGATGACCATTAAATGAAGTGTCATCGCAAGCTGAGAATCTAGATATGAATACGATCGATATAAAAATGTCCAAAAATAAAAAATGGTATGTTAAGTGAGGTTATGGAACCGAAATATTCTTTTTTTTTTGGGATGATACTGAAGTTTATATTGAATTAGAGGAAAACATGTGGTCGGACACTAAAAATATATATAGTATAGGACGAACTCATTGCATTTTTGATTCCGTAGTCGAATATTTTCATATACATATGATTATGACATGCCAAGCAATATTCACCAGTTATTTTCAGCCAATTGATGATGGATCTAGTGGCCAAATGTTAGGAAAATCTCGTTTGTGATGCTCTTATAAGTTGTGAATATCTTCAATCTATTCGAAAATTTGAGACTTGTTCTTATTCTTTATTCAAAAATTTTAAAAATTGTCCTCTAAACAATTTCTTGGACTCGTTCCTTGTTTAGATCTTGTGTTCTTGATTTCTTGGTTCCAATGTTCATCCGGAGACTTTTATTATACTGGTTAAATTTGGATTAAACTCTCAATTTATCCGAGTTGCACTTTTTTCTTCGCAAATCTCCAACTATTCAACCCAAACCACAAAAACAGTGTGATAGCAAAATTTCACTTGATACCTTACCAAAAATAGAAAAACAACCTCAAAACCGATGAGTTTTACCCTAAAAAAAATGATAAATTCAATAAATAAAAAAGTGACATGTGAAACCGAGAAATGGTAGGTGAATCCAAAAAGTGGGGTACACTCCACAAGTTGGTTTTTTTTTTTTTTGGGGGGGGGGAAGGGGAACAGAGTTTGAACTTTTGATTTCAAAAAAATAAAACCTTTATAAAGTAAAGAGTACTATTGAGCCAAAAGCTCATTGTACACTCCACAAGCTAGTAAACTCTACCTAAAATATAGTATAAAACCCTGAAAAAGTATCATAAGTGATCGGAAAAAATTGTCAAAATCAAGCTCGTAAAGCCAGTGTTTGGCACTTATTTCCTATCCTTCAAATTTAAAAACAAGAAAGAGTAAGATAAAAAGTGAGATCATTATGCCAAGGTTTATACTTCATATAGCAAGACTGCAGCCGAAATTACTAAATATAGAAAAAAGAGAACAAGAACCACAATTATCTTTTTCCCACCTACGTGATAAGATAACAAAGGCAGTAAGTTTCAAAAGATCATTGTCGTTTCCTCCAACTCGACTGCAGCAAAGAAGCAATAGCATTAACTAATTTAAAAAAGAAGGCAAGAGAAAGAGAGATGCCAAAGAACCTGCATATGAGACATGAAAGCTGATTAAAGAATGCAAAGTTAAGATAGAATTGCTTTAACATTTTGCATTATCTACAGGTGTAATTGTAGAAAAACAATGCAACTTCACCTTTTGATCTGGTAGCCATGCATGGGATGGATGGTAGATTGAGCTTTTTTATCTACTCTTTTGATCTTTATTAGGTGTATAGTGGAGGCTATTTTTGCTTTCTTGGATAGAGCTGAGCTCAACGTGCAATGCCAATGGGGGCTTGACCTTTTGGCTTTTGATGTCACAGGAAAGATAAAGATGGGACTTTTGTTCAGTATTTCATGGAGGTTATCCTCACGACACTTCTGTTTTTTTTTTTTTAAACATACTTTGCTTCCTTGTGTTGCACTCTTAACAGTACTAAGCCCTTATGGGAATAGGGTTTAATAACAGTGAGGTTGATTGTAGGTTTCAATGCGAATATACTCGCTTTGTATAAATACATTCAAAGGCTAGGGAGGTAATCTACACATCTCGAGAATTTTTTGTGAGTTTAACACATCGCATGATAGGGTTAGTCGGTGTACATCAACTATAAAAGTATTATACATTTATAATGAGTGACTGTCATCTATCATTTTGTTAATATTTTGTTTGAAAATAGCCAACTTGTATATCCCACAAGCTAATTTTGTGGCAATCTCTTATTTTTGTTTATTACATGGTGACTAAGATTGCGCTTACTATTTCTTCAAGTTCTGAGCTGGTCACCTTAATTCGAATTAATTTAAAGACGTATTCCCCGAAGAATAATCATTAAGTGTGCACACCACATGACAGTTTCGCCCACTGCATTAAATCAATTCAAAATTTTCTCTACATCCCAATTCAACATTCTTTGGTAATGAGACCCACGCTTTTTAGCTACTTGCATGCTTAGTAGTCATGTTTAAACAGACGCATTTTAGTTATGTTTATTTTCCTTCTTAGTGGACTTCTTGTCAAAACTATGACTCATTGAGTTTCAAAAGAGTTCACAGCGATAATACCCTTCCCTAAGCCCATTGAGCCTCTTCACACAGAGATCTCAGTCTATGACATGGGCCAAATCCTCTCAAACCAACTTCAAGCCCACCTCATAACGTCTGTTCATAATGATCTACAAGCTTACATTTTTGTATAAAATAAATTACACATACAACCGCTAAACTATGTTAATTGTGTTAATTAAGTTTAAACTAATTTTTATGTCAATTTAACTTCTTCCATCCAAATTCCTTGCTAATTCTAACGGACTATCTCACATGCACACCAAGTTTATGGTCTTTAACTACCTTAATTCTTGACTCACGTACACGCAAAAATTTTCGTGAAAGTTAACAGCAAACATGAATAGAAAAGTTAAATTGAGTTAGATTGTATAATGGAGGGATTAACTTGACACAAATATTTATTTAGGAGTTTAATTAATACAAATGATTCATTACGTGACGAATTGGACCTTAGCTAATGGGTGGAGGCCCAAATGGATCTCCATCGCCTTCTCACTTAATAAACTTTATTATTTTTCGTGACAAGGGTGTTCATACTTCATACATCCTACAAGTTGTCAAGTACACGACCTATTCTATGAGAGTCATGCATCGCACAATTCTATACTAAAATCCATATGAAAAAACTCGAGATTAACACCATTTTGCCTGTTGCTTTGTTCCTTTGAGTATCACTTTACTATTGATACTTTAGCGAGAAGTGGCTATTGAAAATTTGAATCTCGTCACAATCAACATTATTTATCAATTAGAAAACAAACAAAATTCAACCCTAGTTCAAGAAAACTCAATTGTGCTAGTCACGCTCTTTCGAGTGATGAAAAGGATGGTTATGTCCTCATAGAGGCATGAGAGGGTTTAGTGGGGTCTAATCATATTTTTCTACTTTAATTAAAATAAAATACAATGATTAAAAATATGCAACTTGTCTTCAATCACGCTTTCAACATACAAATTCACAAATCACATCAACAAGAAAAAAACAACAGTTCAATTTAATAGACATTTATTATAAATAAATTATATCCCAAACCTGTAAGAGTGGTGCACACTTCTTATATATATTACAAAAGTTTGAATAAATAATAATATTCAAAAAAAAAAGCCCGTTATTCTAAAAGTGTGCCGTCTAACCCTCTCTCCCAGGTCAGGCGTGAAGAATGATGCTTAATTGCTTATGCTTCTTCCTCTTTTAATTTGTAATTTTCGTAAAATTTAAAAATCAGCATCAAAATTCCACGTCGGATTTGGTGGCAAAAATGCAGGCCGCCGGTTGTCATTCATTGGGCCGTTCTTCCGGAAAACTCAAGTAGGCCCAGGTCCTAGTAGGGGAAACCAATGCCCAATAGCGGCAGTGAGAAAGGGAGAGAGAGAGCGCAAACGTTACAGGCATTGAGAACAGCTACAATAATTGCCAAATCGCCGCTAAAATGGCGATGAAGTGAAGTGACGTGTGGCTGAGATTGGCAGTAGCGCTTGAGGAATATGAGACGTTGCTTGTCACCGGTAATTGCCCTCCGGATGATTTCTGACTGTAATAAAAAAAATATGAGTATGAGAGAGAAGAAAATTAATATATTAATTTATTTATAATATTCGTCTTTAGCACAATAATAGAGGGCTTGGACGGTGCTTAGTTTATAATTTGGGAAGCACTGTAATAAAATTACATAGACGTGGAAGCCCTATTTGGGAGGACACAAACCGAGTTTGAAATAATGAGACAATGATATAATTATTTAAATGATTGAAAAGAGACTAATAACATAACATAATCAAGATCGATTTTAACGATGAAATCGTTAATGACAAACAATGAATTTATTTTACCGGAACTTCTATACCTCTTTCATCAACATAGGGGACGATGAGTAGTTAAAAGAAATTTTCTTGGATAATTAACAGCGACAATTTTGTTTACTTGCATTCTTTATTGCACTATAAACAAGTAATCAACAAAAGTGAGAGCATGTTATCTACGTCAATGAATAAAATTATAGAAAAATTATCATACTGTTATTATTCGTAAAAAAATAATATTATGATATTTTTTTTTTCACGAAAGTAAAATTCACCAAATCTGATTAACTTTGAAATTCATAATTAATTTAATAATTATAATAAATTAAATCTTTAAATAAAATTCAAACAACAGTTTTCTACATGATTTTGTATGACAATTTGTTATTTACCAAACAAGACGGTCAAAAAATTTATAATATAAAATTCATAGGGTTAGAATGGTAAATGTACCTGGCAGCCGGAATCGGGCAGAAGCTGATGATGTAATCTGCGGAGGCACAAGTAAACGTACTGGTCCCATCATCGTAAGCATAGCTGTAAGCGCGTGGGCACGCATTTTTAAAATACTGCGAGTAGGAACTCGGCTTACACGTATCAGGCGTCGCGTACGCACCACTACAGCAGTACTTCGGATCCCCAAAAGCCTCACACGCACTCTTACACGCCACAATCTCTCCCCCATCAACACTGTTGGTCACTTTCAGTTCTGATGGGCACGCGCCGTTCAGCTCAACGACACAACCGGTGGCGGTGCAGTTCCCGCCAGACCCACCCTGTGGGACCACTAACATGGGTAGATTGTATCCGTCCACTAGGCTCACGTCATAGAAGTCGAGACCTCCTGCACCATTCAATGTGAACTCGGCCAGTGTAGCAGGCGGGACAGCTCCGGCACCGGCACATTCTAATGTTCCGGAGCCGCAATCGCCGGTGACGCACGTGAACTTTCCGGTGGGGTCTTGGTTACAAAGAGTGCGACCCCATAAACGGCCGGACCAGGAGGGTGGGACAGGTATGGAATTTGATTGGCCGGGTTGGAGGGCAAAGCCGGTGGTGGAGAGTTGGGGTGTTCCGGCGCCGGAGAGTATACCCGGCCATACTGTGTAGCTGCACTGGTTGACGAGAGTGAACTTTGCAGACATTACACCTACCAAGTTAAGATTATTACCCAGAAAACATTAGTTGAAGCAATAAAAAAAAAGAGCAACAGAATAAAGATTGCGCACCAAAAATGATCAGTTTGCCAGTCACGTAGGTATTAATCGGGACGAGTTAGTTAGACACAATAAAATTTTAAAAATTAAAAATTTATAAAATTTAACTCAAAAATAGTTTAATTGTTCGTATCAAACTCAAACTCATTTTTTAAACAAATCAAGTTTAACAATTTTAATAGACTTGAACTCAAACTAGTAAACGCTCAACTTGACTAAGATGCGGAACTCGTGGTACCCGTTAGCGACCTCAGGCTAATGACATCAGTTCTACTTGCATGTGTTAAACATATAGTAAATGTTCTCCAAACATAATTAAGCAAAGTTCCTGCCCAGTCCTAGTAGTGCATTAATCAAATACATATATCAAATTTCCTTGAGGATCAAGAGAAAGAAACACATGCACATAAGGTAATCAATCGTTACGGAGTTAAGATTATATATATAGAAAATATTAGTTGAAAAAACAAAACAGAGCAACAGAATGAAGATTGCACACCCAAAAGTTCAGTTTTTCGGAGAAAAACAGAGCATGCAGCTGAGAACTTAATAAAAAAATGAAAACTACTTTCAATCATTGACTTAAATTTTTAAATTAAATCTAAATAACATTTTACTAAGGTTATATAAGAAGGAAAAAAAATAGTTGAAGGGAAAAAAAGAGTGATAAAATGAAGATTACACACCCAAAAATATGAGTTTGACAGAGAAAAACAGAGCAACTAACAAAACTCTGAAAGTTCCATATGTATTATATAATATAGGCATTTGACCCTCATTTCTACGTTGAAAATCAAAATTCATTTCTTAATAAGTAGAAGATTTAATTTAATCCTTCATCCCTAAAACAAAACTATTGTGTTGCCATGGTAGCAAATTACCAGAACTGACTTACCCAAAACAAAGAAAAAAAAAATTACCTGAACTGAAAAGAAGACAGAGAGAGAGGAGAGAAAGAAACAGTTGACGATTGGCCATTGCTGCCGAAGAAGAAAGTGCAGACTTTCTTGGAGGTTTTGTGGGTTGGGAAGAGAATGAAGAAAGTGCGGCAATGTACGAATGAATGTGATGAATTACGTACGAGGGCTGTGGAATATAATATATATATATATATATATATATATAAACGTAGTCCAATGAAATTGCGGTGGAGGAGGGCACTAAATGATGCACAAATTTGGACGGACTTCGGCGGATTACAGAGACGATACACCCACCGCCAGAGTTTTCATCCGGCGACTGTGTGTACTGAGATTAAGACGTTGGAGGGTTCGGAGTTAGGAGAGCTAACGGGTGTTATTAGGAGAGCTAATCTTCGATTGTGTCGAGGGAAGGCGGAGTTAAATAGGCAAAATTATAATTAATTAATTATTTTTAGTAGGGTGGGTTTTTTTGAAGGATGGAAAGGATGGGTTTGGACTGGGGCGTGGGTTTGAAAACCGTTTCAGTTGCTTGAAGGGACAAACTCAATTGGGTAATGTCCATTACGGTCCAGCCCTATTATGATTGGCCATGTCATCTTGGCCCACGCGTCACAATTGGAATTACCAGAATTCAAGATGAGCTGTTCATCCAAGTGCAATGAACCTGAACTGTTTTTAAATTTTTTTTTTTTTAAGAAATAAGCATAATAATAGGAGTTGGCTACGATACCGAAAAAGTGAAATTCGGTATGATACCAAAAATTGAAAAAGAATATAAATTTGACACGTGTACTCACTTATCTGTTTCAAAACTAATAACCGGTATATATTTTAAAAATAAATATAATCGTTGTACATTTAAAAAAAAGATATAATAGAAATTAAAATTAGTTTCAAAAATAATAATTATTTATCTTATTTAAACCAAAATTAACATATAATAAAAAATTTACAATATCTAGCTTAATGCCAATTTTTTTATTAAAAAAAAACTGATTTGATAGTTTTATATGTTAATTTGATTAATTGGACGAATTGGATTAATTGACGATTATTTCAGATCTTAATTTGTTGAATTAAGGGTTAATTAGATGGAAATGAATGTTAATCTATTTTTTAATTTAATTTTTTTTTAAATTTTAAATTTTTAAATTTTTAAATTTTTCAATTTTTTAATATAAATCGAATGAAATTGATCAGTGATTGCTACTTGATCCGGTGATTGGTAGTTTGATCGATCGCAATTTAATGAAATTGACCTCGCGATCGGTACCTTGATCGCTACTAGATATCAAGAGCATTTGATCGCTACTTCATCCCTTGACCGCTATCGTGATCGAACTTGATTCCTTCTAATTCCTCTTTATCGCTATTGATCATCTTGATCCCTCCTGATTGCTCTTGATCCGTGTTCTTGATCGATCATCATATTAACCAAAAAAATGGTAATTTAACCTCAAAAACTCTAATCTTAACCAATGTTAATCAAAAGTTTTGTAATATTAACCAAAAAATTACATTTTTGGATTAAGAAATGTAATCTAATAAAAAAAGTGTTCTTAACCAATCCTGATAAAGTTGTAATTTGCTAATTTAAATCGAAAAAATTATACACTTAATCAAAAAATGGTTTTAGTGTAATCTTAACCACAAAAATGCTAATATTAATCAAAAAAATTGTAACTTTAACGTAAAAAAAGTGTAATATTAACCCAAAAATTGGAAATCTTAATCATTAATCATTAGAATTGTAATTTTAACCATACCTTAACAAAAAAGTCTAATCTTAACCAAAAAAATAGTAATGTTAGGTAATGTTAACAAAAAAAATATAATGTTAACAAAAAAAGATGTACATTTAACAAAAGGGTGGTAATATTAACCTACTATGTTAACCAAAATAAATTGTAATATTAACAAAAAAAAAAGTGGCAATATTAACGCGTAGTAATTTTAACTTAAATAGTGATAATTTTAACCAAAAAATGGTCATCTGAAACAACAGTGGTAATTTTAACCAAAAAAATAGTAATATTCTCCAAATTTTTTTAACCAAAATAGTGTAATGTTTATAAAAAAAGTGATACTCTTAGTACTCATAACCAAAGCAGCGGTAATACTTACCAAAAAAGTGCTAGTCATAAACAAAATAGTGGTCCTTTTAACCAACACAATGGTCATATTAATCAAAAAAATGGTACTCTTAAACAAAATAGTGGTACTTTTAACCAAAAAAGTGGTACTCTTAACCAAAAAGTGGTACTCTTAACCAAAAAAATGGTACTCTTAACCAAAAAAGTGGTACCCTTAACTAAAAAAATGGTATCCTTAATCAAAACAGTGGTACTCTTAACTAAAACAGTGATACTCTTAACAAAAACAGTGATACTCTTAACCAAAAAGTGGTACTCGGAACCAAAAAAGTGGTACTCTTAACCAAAAAAGTGATACCCTTAATCAAAACAGTGGTACTCTTAACCAAAAAAGTGGTACCCTTAACCAAAACAGTGATACTCTTAACTAAAAAAGTGGCACCCTTAATTAAAACAATGGTACTCTTAACTAAAACAATAATACTCTTAACCAAAAAAGTAGTAATACTAACAAAAAAAGTTGTACTCTTAATCAAAAAAAAGATACTCTTAACCAAAAAAGTGGCACTCTTAATCAAAACAGTGGTACTCTTAACCAAAACTATGATACTCTTAATCAAAAAAGTGGTACTTGTAACCAAAAAAGTGGTACTCTTAACCAAAAAAGTGGTACTCTTAATCAAAAAGTAGTACTCTTAACCAAAAAAGTGGTACCCTTAACCAAAACAGTGGTACTCTTAGCTAAAAAAGTGGTACCCTTAATCAAAACTGTGGTACTCTTAACCAAAACAGTGATACTGTTAACCAAAAAAATAGTACTTTTAACCAAAACAGTGATATTTTTAACCAAAACAGTGGTACTCTTAACCAAAACTGTGATATTCTTAACAAAAAAAGTGGTACTCGTAACCAAAAAGGTGGTACTCTTAACCAAAAAAATTGTACCCTTAACAAAAACAGTGGTACTCTTAACCAAAAAAGTGGTACCCTTAACCAAAACAGTGATACTCTTAACCAAAAAAATGGTACCTTTAATCAAAATAGTGGTACTCTTAATCAAAACAGTGATACTCTTAACCAAAAAAATGGTAATGCTAATCGAAAAAATGGTACTCTTAATCAAAAAAGTGATATTTTTAACAAAAAAAGTGGTAATCCTAACTAAAAAAGTGGTACTCATAAATAAAATAGTGGTACTCTTAATCAAAAAAGTGATACTCTTTACCAAAAAAATGAATCTCTTTACCAAAAAAGTAGTCATATTAACAAAAAAAGTGGTACTCTTTACCAAAAAGGTAGTACTCTTAACAAAAACAATGATACTCTTAACCTAAAAAATGATACTATTAACTAAAAAAATGGTACTCTTAACCAAAAAAGTGATACTTTTAACCAAAATAGTGGTACTCTTAACCAAAAAAGTTAATGTTAACAAAAAATGTGTATTTATTTTTTTTAAATATAAGGTTACTATAATCTCTTAATAAATGATGATGATTTAAAATCTCATAAAGGATTCATAGGGATATAAACAATTTTGCAACTTCATCTTCTTCTTTATCCTTTTTCTTTGTTGTGTGAGTTTTTTTTTTTTTTATGAATTTACTTTAATTTCAGTTTTAATAAATGATAATGATGAGTTTATAATCTCATAGGGATAAAAATAATTCTTCAACTCCATGTTTTTCACGTTAAATAAATTATATCAAGCATATCATATTTGTTACACCTTTGATGTTAAATTAAAATAGGTAAAAAAAAATTGGACAAATATGAAACTAATTACATAGTTCAAGATGTAATATGAAAAATATGATGAAAAAATTCAAAAAATGTGATAATTTTGGGGTATAAGTAAAATTTATTGGACAAGCTAAATCCTCGCTGGACCAGCTAAATTTATTGCAACTCCATCTTCTTCTTCCTCGAGTCTTTTTTTTTTAATTGAATAAATGACGACGATCATTTTATAATCTCATAAGATAAAAAGAATTCTGCAACTCCATTGATCTTTCTTCTTCTTCATCAATGGTTTTTTTTTTTTTAATGAAAAGACCATTTTTTAAGGATAAATGGATAGCCGGTAAAAAGTCACAGACTTGATCAACGGTGGAAGTTTTTCATCAGTTATGAACCATTCATTGTCTTTTTTCGGTACCATACCGAAATTTTTTTTTGGTATTGCAGTCGGACCCATAATAATACCACTGTAATCTAATAGAAACAAATCAATCACTAGTTATGTAGAAAAATAGAGATTAATTGTAGGTTAATTGAAAGCAACTTCAACTCAGAAATTTGAATTTAAAACTAAATAATACATAAATTTGTAAATCAAGACAAATTTTAATATATCTAGAAAAATAACTAAAATTTATATATATATATATATATATATATATATATATATAAATAAAATTAAGGAAAAAAAAATTTGAGGATTCCTACACACAAAAAACAAAAAAAAAGAAAGAAGAACAACAACAACCTAGTACACAAGACGACCTCCGATTCTGGTCATCTGGAGTGGACATGGTAATCCTAGAAATTCTATCTGAATCATCTCAATGAATTCTAGGCCACACTTGAAAAAAGACGAGGTTTTTTGGTCAAAAGTTTTCTGTTTGGTTATTTTGGCCGCTAAAAACGCCGTAATTAAGAGGGACTAGGCAGGCCGTAGCTGTAAGCTTGCCTCTTGCTGGAATGGAGGAGTTGGCTGATCATAAATCCACCATTGGTTCTTCCCATACCCCCTTCAAACATCTAGATTCTAGCATTTAATTATGTTCCTTCCATTTTAAAGATTGGTTTAACGAAAGCTATAATATTTTCGGATGTAAATGCATTTTAAAAAATAATTTGTGAAAAAAAAATAACTACTTTAAAAAATAAAAATATGTTCATTTACTATTTTGTTAAAGTGATCTGAATACATCTTTACCTCTACAACAGAGTCTGATGTGTGTCTATACATGTAATTAAAGTTAGAGGAAAGAAGAAATCTTAGACAATGAAAAAAACAAGAAAAAAACGTTAAAAACAAATACTACAAAATTTTTTTTTAAAAAATAATTGAAAAACTTTAACAAAGTGTACATAAATTGATTTAAAAGGTCCGATCATGATGAAAATAAAAGGCAAAAACATGTACCAAACAATATGCCCTCTCTTTTTTTTTTTTATCCCAAAAAAGGGCGACTATTAAATAGTAACCCCTACATGTTACCATGAGAGTTCTCTCATTGTGAAATGTCCGGTCTGAACCACAACTACTAACTTAAAGAGACAACCAACAGTAAATTATGTTTGATCTACTTGACAATCACATAAGAGTTAAAGACAATTCTAAATGAATACGGCTTACCATTTAGACCACCAACTCGGATGGTTAACAATATGCTCTCTCAATAGGGTGGATTTCAATATTAACAATTAATTGATACACCCAAGAGGAGAGGAAAGAAAAAAACACATATAAAGAAGAACCTCCTTCCACCATAACAACAATGATGTGGTCTTGATTCAGAAATACATCATTTGCCAAATTGGCCATTATCCGTGCTGACAGTCCCACATACGGTCTCCATAGGAGAGCAGAGTGAAGGGTCTGAGCTGGAAAAGAGAACGTCAAGGTTCAAATTAGCTCCTAGAACTTGGAAACTACTAGCCAAATGACTCAACCCATACAGCCCCCCCCCCCCCCCCCCCCCCCCCCCTCTTATCAAACCAAGTCAGGCCGCTGTGCAAGAAAAGGAAGCCGCATATGGATAGAGAAAACGAGAAGAGTTCAATCTCCGACTGACAGGTGAGACCAAGAAGCTCACAGACCTTATTGCACTCACCAGAACAGAATAAAGGAAGCAAACCTCCATTGTTGTGGGAGGGTTCTTCAAAATACATATGGTTATATCTCAATCTGTAGGGAATCTTTTCAATCCACAGGACTAGTGAGACAATCAGGAATCAACCTAGGTGATAATCTCCACCAGTAATACTACAACCACGTCAAGCTAATGCCACCACAAAAGTTCAGACAAGTGTGGCCGTCACCATTTGGAAGACAAAACACAAACATCACTGTCAATCCACATGACCTGTTCACAGTCTACTCACATCCTGCATCATCAATTTCACAACCACCACCTTTGATAACATCGGCCATCCCAAACCGCCACTCTCACTATAGCATGAATTCAAATAGATTCAAATTCATTCATATGATCATAACGGTAACGTTTAGAAGACCACAACTGATCTTGAAAGGGAATGAATGAAAAAAGGAGCATGTCGTATCAATGGAGAGTTCTAAGAATAATTGATTCTTACCCGATTGGTATAAAACCTTATAATTCATCCACAATCAAATTTGCAAAGAAATGTCGAATCCAAACACCACCATTTCACAAATTTTGCATAGGAGGATCAAAAATATAAATTTCAGAGACCTTTAGTTACAATATGTAGGTACTAGATATGTTCAAAAGATGTAAAACCCATATAACTTGCAGAGGATCATGCAAAACTTTCAACATGGACAGACTGGGTAGAAACTATAATAAAGGCAATAGTTGCATGCATCCCAAAGCTGCAAACAATCAGAATCCGACAAATAAAAACCCCAAAGAGATTAAGCACATGTAATACACAAGTCATGACATTATAACTACAGTTGGATATGAGAGCTCATGTTCTCCATCCAGCAAACACAAGACAATTTTTTACTCTTCCCATCACCGAGTCCAAGGATTTGTCCACATTCCCTCATAGGGGTAGAAAATTCTACAATTGACATCGCAAGGAAAAAAATGTTTCCTATACCACCAACGATAGAATTATGTCAAAACAACATGACATAACATAACTAAATTGACACCATTGACAAGTGGCGAAGCACATGATATTAGGCATTCGAATTACATAGGGACAAAGAACAATCATCGTAGCAGCCGGCAAAATTGAGAAACAATTTCCCTACCCCTTAAAAACTCCCAACCAACATGTGTAATTCAGATTTATTGAGAACTCTCAATGCACATCAGATTAATATTCAAGCAGCATTAAACAATTAATGATGTAACATAAATGTATAAATAGGAACATTTGGAAGAAATCTTCATTCAACAAAATAAGGTCAAGTTCATCACAATCAACCAAACCAAATCGAAAACTCTAATTCAGCAAACGAACCACGACATATATACGCATACCAGCTTGGAAAATTCTCCTTGACAAAACAGTGGATCGCCTAATAAACCATAAACTGTTCCGAAAAACCATCCATATGTATAAACCATCAAACCACCAAAAATCAGGACAAAAATAACATACTAATCCTATCAAAGCAAGATAAGAAAAAGAGATCATATACGGTTTTACTCTATCGTGATTCTTCACGCATAATTAGGACACTCCCTTGCAATGTGTCCTGGCTGTCCACAAGTATAGCAGTTTCCTCCGCCACCGCCACCGCCACCGCCACCGCCGCCAAACCTTCCATATCCGCCACCGCCACCGTTTCCACCGCCCCGAGTACAATCTCTTGCCATATGCCCCTGCTGCCCACAGTTGTAACATCCACTGTTTCCACCGCCGCCGCCACCAACCCGGACACTAGTACAGTCTCTTGCCATATGTCCATAGCCACCGCAGTTGAAACAAGCGCTGCCACCACCAGCGCCACCGCCGCCATTAATCTGATTGCAATCCCTCGCCATATGCCCAGTCCTGCCACAATTATAACACTCACCACCACCGGATCCACCGCGGTACCCATTACCATTCCTTCGATTAAAACCAAAACCACTGCCGCCGCCACCACCACTACCAAACCCATACCCACTGCGGCCACCTCTCGGACCACCACCCCTGGGCGGCTTGTCGACGGGGGCTCCGTTGGGCCCAGTGACATCGATGGCCTTGGTCTTTTCACCCTCATGAATAACCAAAAATTCTACCTCTTGGCCTTCATAGAGAGTTCGAAAGCCATCAGATTTGATCTCCGATTGGTGGACGAAGAGATCTTCCCCATCTTCGTATGGTCTGATGAACCCATAGCCCTTCTGGTCGTTGAAGCGAACCACCTTGCCCAATGATCTAGGGTTTTCCTCCGTCGCCATTGATCTTGAGAGAAACTCTTCTGCCTCTACGTGTGCGTGTGAATTGGTTTAGGGTTTGTAAAGCATATATAGGGAAGCGAGAGGGTTGCGGAAGCCTTAAGCCACGGTTGGGCGCTTTGGGCCGGGATTTTTGGGTTTTCATATTTGTTTTTTTGATCTTCTTGTAAGTTGTAAGTGGCCTAATTGTGAATAATTTGAACTCATGATAATATATGTAATTTATCCATAAATTATGTATATTTACTGGTTTAAAATTTTATAGGATTAATTGTATTGAAAGTTCCAAAGTATGAGATTTGACTAATTTTAATTTTTAATTACATCATTTTGCTTCCTGAAATATTGAATATGTTTTTATATGATCCCTTAAGTAGACAATATTCAAATTGTTAACAATTTTTATGATAAACTTGTCACGTAATACTTAAATATGAATAAAAAAATAATTTGGATAATTTTTAACCAAATTTTTACTCAAATTTAAGTTAAATAACTACCTAAATTACATAATTTTGATCATGAACTATCTAAATTTTGATCAAAAGTTGCTCATATTACACATTTTTTGTTATAAGCTATCCAAATTTTGTTTAATAGTTATCGAAATTATTTTTTTGTCATATTTAGGTGTTATGTGACAAGTTTATAATAAAAAATCGTTAGCAATTTGGACATTGTCTATTTGAAGAACCATATAAAAACATATTCAGTATTTTAGAGATCAAAATGAAACAAATCTCATACTTTGGAGACCTCAGTGCAATTAACTCAATTTTATAAAATTTAGTTTTTAAAAGTTAGGTGGTGTTTAGTTTGTGTCTCAAAACCAGTTTTTTGTACTCAAAACGTAAAATTTTGTGAGATGCTAAGAACAAATTTTCAAAAAAAGTGAGAATTGAGAAAAAAAAAAAAAATAGAGAACATTTAAATGATGTTCTCTGAGTTTTCAAGTCAAAATATAAAACAAGGAAAACAACCCCTATTTTTTAATGAAGTACACCCATCGAATTTCCTTAGCAGCAAAATACATTTTTTTCGTTGAAGTATAAAAGCCCTCCACTCAAATATTTTCTCAATCTCCTCTCGCTTTGCAATGATCTCTGTGTGTGTGTGTGCGCGCAACGATCGCTGTGTTGCTTCAACAGAGCAACAATCGTTGTGCTGATTTAACGATCATTGTGCTTTATCAAACTTTCAACGATCACTGTGTCTTTTTTTTTTTTTTTTGCATCTGGGTTCTTCAAAATCTTCTCCCTCGATTTTTTTTTGGCATTTGGTTTCAGATCTTGAAGAAGATACACACAGTGAATTTTTTTTTTTGGGCATCTGACTTTAGATCTTGAAGTATGTTGATCGATTTATGGGTTACAAATTTGATTTATGGCACCTTGGTTTTCTCTTGATTTGTCTTCTCTCTCTCATCTGCTCTCTTTTTTGTATCCCCTCACTTAACAAAAATATATACAGATATATCTACAAATCTCTCTCTCTCTCTATATATACACAGATATTTGTGTATATATATGTACATATATGTGGGTTGCCTATGTGTGTGAGTGTGTGTTTTTACAGTGTGTGTATTTTTACTCTTTGTGTGTTTTGTAGAAGAGAGAAAAGAGGAAAGAAAGGGAGAGATGAGAATTGGGGATTTTGTAGATTATTATTCAAATAGGTTTTACAATATTTTGTTCTTTAAAATTATTTTTCAAAATATACAACTAAACAAGTTTTGCAATTTAAAAATTTTCAAAAACAATTCCTTAAAACTTTTCTCAAAAATTATTTTTAAATACTATTTTTTGAGACACAAATCAAACAATGCCTTAAGTTTTCAAATCTCAGTGAGATTTGTTTTGGTAGACAATATATTTTTTGAAAAAACACCAATAAATTTTACTTTTTCTTTCAAGGGAATGATTAAATTGAATAAAATCATCCATCCCATACCTATCTCGCCTAAGAAAAAAAATACAAAATTCGTTTTCCTTATCGTTTGTTTGGTTCAAATATTAAAAAGTGGTAGGTCCACCCTTATTCTATGTAACACTTTGTTTAGATGAAGTATTGAATGACTAGTTATTGTCCGTGCCTAAAGGCATGGAGTAGTATAAAATTGGTAAAAAATAAATATATTTATATTCATATCCAAAATTAAATCTCAAATATAGAAGAGAATGAAAAGAATTAAAGCACCGGTTGTAATGAGGGTGAGCGGTGGTGGGAGACAGTGATAGTTGTGCTGGGTGATGACGAGCGTGAGTGGTGGTAGACAACAATAATGATGGTTGGAAGTAGTGGTAGTGGTGGTGGCGGTGGGTTGTGGATGACGATGGATTTTTCTGGACGGTAATGTGATAGGTGGTGGAGAATTGCGGTGGTGGTAGGTTTGGTGGGTGGTGATGGGCGGTGGGGGTGTGTAATAATAGCTGATAATGATGGTGGGCGACGACATTTGGTAGTGTGTTGTGGTAATGGGTGGTGATGGTGAGCAACAATGGTAGTAGTGGGTGATGCAGTGGGCGACGGTGGTAGTGGGATGATGGCGATAGTGGTAATAAATATAAGAATGAGATGACGATAATGGTGGGTGGTGGCAGTGGACGACAGTGGTAGCAATCGGCAGTGGGTGATGATGGTTGTGGCGGGTAGGGGTGGTAGCAGTGATGGTGGTGGGGTGGCGATGACGGTGGCGGTGGTAGTGGTGATGGTTGTGGGAGTAAGGGTGATTGTGGGACAGTAGCGGGTGTGATAGGGTGGCGACAACGCTAGTGGTGGGGTGGCGGTAGTGGTAGTGATGGTGGTGTAGCAACGGTGGTAGTGATATTGGTGATGGTCGTGGGGGTGGGGGTGGGGGTAGGGGTAGGGGTAAGGGTGATGGTAGGACAGTGGCGGTAGTTGTAAGGTGTTGACAGTGGTGGTGGGGTGGCGATAGAGGCAACAGTGGTTGTGGTTGTTATAGCAGAGGTGGTGGTGGGTGGCGACAGTGGTGGTTGTTGTGGCAGGGGTGGTGGTAGGGTGACCACAGTGATGGTGGTGGTGGTGCGGTGATGATGGTGGTAGTTAT